GTGACTCCAGAACTCCATCTTGGAGCTGGACTTTGCATAGGAGGGAGGAGGGGGGTCTCCACCCACAAGAGAGAGTCTATTTAAACCCGTGTGAGACCCCTCCATTTTGGTCTTCAGCTGGCTAAAGAAGGAGCCTCTCCACCCCCCCAGGATACTTGAAGGAAACTGAGACAAAAGACAGTAACTACAGGGGGTGTGAGTGATTGCTGGACCCAGGCTAAAAGGAGATTAGCCTGTAAAAGGCAGCATTCTAGAACGGGTGAGGAACTTATCTGTATTTAGTTTGATTAGACATAGATTTGCGCATTTTATTTTATTGTACTTGGTGACTTACTTTATTCTGTCTGTTACTACATGGAACCACTTAAATCCTACTGTCTGTATTTAATAAAATCACTTTTTATTTAGTAATTTACTCAGAGTATGTATTAATACCTGGGGGAGCAAACAACTGTGCATACCTCTTTATCAGTGTTATAGAGGGCGAACAATTTATGAGTTTGCCCTGCATCAGCTTTATGCAGGGTAAAACAGATTTATTTGGGTTTAGACCCCATTGGGAGTTGGGCATCTGAGTGCTAAAGACAAGCATACTTCTGTGAGCTGTTTTCAGGTAAACTTGCAGCTTGGGACAAGTGATTCAGACCCTGGGTCTGTGTTGGAGCAGACTGGAGTGTCTGGCTCAGCAAGACAGGGTGCTGGAGTCCTGAGCTGGCAGGGAAAACAGGAACAGGGGTAGTCTTGGTACATTGGGTGGCAGCTCCCAAGGGGGTTTCTGTGATCCAACCCGTCACAGGTACAATGAGTTGAGTTCTTTGGGGACTGTCTTTTATGGTGTGCATGTACAGCTCCTAGCACCATAGGGCTTTGATCTTGTGTAAGGTCTCTAGGTACTACTGTAACATTAATTATAATAATAATAGAACATGACAATTCAACTTCTTCTTTGTTTAGTGGTAGAGACTAATGTTAAGACATTGTTTTTGCCAGATGTAAGTGGTGGATAAATAGCTATCTAACTCCCTCAAGTGTAGCTGCAGATTCAGAGATGCAGCTGAAATTCTCCAAGTACCAAAAATCCAGCAGCAGAAGAGGTATCAAGGTAAGTCAACACCTGGTGAAATAAATGTTATCCTCTCAGGACCCTCTTGACAGGGCAAACTCATTGAGGAGGTTGACGGGGTGGCACTAGAGGACAAGTAGAGTGCCTGGCATTATATCTTCTGCATTTGTCAACCAGTGGTTGAAAGGATGGTGAACACAAGGTAGGAACCTTGCAAGGTGTTCTATTCTGATGGATGATAGATGGAAATTCTGCCTGTCTCTATTGCAGCCACTAGCTGGCTTAATCTGCTAGAATTATACAATTCTTGAGGGCAACTTGGAGCATCCTTCTTGACGAAGATGCACAAACAAATTGGCCTACTCTGTGTAACAATAGATCATGCCATCATTTCTTAGGGGTTTGTTTCCCTAACATATGTGCGCTCAAAAAACTGTTGGCTTTTAATTGAATAGTAGCTAGCTGAGGGTGCCTGAAACTTTCAGATTTTACAGGGATACCTCGCAGATTAAGGAACCTGAAGCAATTCCATTAGCAGGGAAACCCCTGAAGAATGCAGTGTTGGGAGTGGGTGTATGTACACACAGTGAATTGGAGGAGGGGGAAGAATAATAAAATATGGAATGGCTGAGCAAGGTTGCTCTCTGGAGATAATCATTTCAATATGGGACCAAAGTGCTATGATGGACAAAGAGGTGATGAAGGAATGTTTTCAATCACACTGCAATAAGTAATGTTGTCGTTCCTTTTAGAGAAGCATTTTTAATAAAATGGGAGGATTCCATCAGCTACAAAAGGGAAAAAAATCAGTCAAAATGAAATCGTATATTCTGGCATGGCATGGCATATTAGGGCAGCATTAGCAAAGTTCTGGAAGTTATCGTTTATACTAATGTTGCCTAAACATTTTTGTATCAAAATTTGTTCAAAATGTGTAAGTCCCTGTGTATTCCACACCTACCGTAGCTGCCTTTGTGTTTTTTTTAAATATGTATTCTGCATGAATTGACTTATACTTGTCAGAGCTCTATCAATACAATATCTCAGTCGTTAGGAGCCTTTATGTATTCACAGCACTGTCATATTTATTTGAAATCTCACTTTTGATACAGAAACCATAATTAATCACGTAAGCCAAGTTCTTTTGCATGTGCGACAAAGGGCTATTTAATATGAAGTTATTTCCTGTAACATTTATGAAATGAGAGCAAAGAATGAAGACTTTACCTGAAAGAAACAGTCACCTTTTTTCTTTTGCAATTAATTCATCCTCTCAAAAGTTCTCCCCTCTCTCCCCTTAAGCAGATTTTCCTACCCCTTTGGGTGACACACCATACACTGGGTGATCTAAAATTTCATTCTTAAAAGCTCCTGTATTTTGCAAAGGATATCACTAAGGCTATCAAGCTGTGACAATCTGAACATGGGAGATTAAAAAAACAAACCCCAAACACCCCCACTATGAATCTGGTTTTAAAGGCCAGTTTCCCAGCACTGACCTCTGTTTTTGCAGAGACAGTATTGTGCTTGCAAATCTAGTTTTTGCAACCCACACTTTTTCTGCCTGCAATTCACTTTGGGGCTACAATATTATTATTTATTTGATTAGGGTAGTGCCTACTACATACTAAGCACTTCCTACGACAGTCTCTGCCTAGAGAAGACAACAGTTTAAGGACAGACAGAAAAGCAGACAGAAGAACTTAGGGAAAGTGAACAACAAACAGATTTGTCATACAAATCAACAAGATTCACTGTTAACGGTTTGCTAGGAGTGGGGTTTAATAGTAGTTTGTACAGGGGCCTTTGTGGATGAGCTTAGGGAGATTGAACAATGAGTAGCGTGCTACATGGAAGAAGGCTTGGAGGTACTTGTTTAAGAGGTTGACACATGTGTGGATTAATAGTAGATGTCTAAGGAATCACATTTGCATCCCTAATTCATCATGAGTCTAAACATCTGGGCACAATTTATTTGCTGTTTCAAAATTGTTTGCAAAAATCTATGGAATTGCTGAGGCCCTGCTAAATTCTGGCTGTACATTCCTGACTGAAATACACTGCATAAAGCCTTCATCAGAAGATGAAGAAAGATGCTTTAAAACCTGCCTTCGGGTAAACACAGTGAGATATTCTGTTTCCAAATGAGTGAGACCATTTTTTTTAAGTCCAAAACTCTAACTTAAGCCCCCAACAAACTTTGGCAGTTCAGATAAAATAGGATTCTGATCCAACCCACCCCAGTTTTGCAAAATTTTCTTGCTGCCAAGGTTTTGAAAACAAAATGGGCCAAAACCAGAACCATTTCTCAAATCCACACCACACTTTGGATTTTGGATAAAATGGAACCTCAGATAACTTTGCTTTTGTAAAAGACCCTCCCCCCAAAAAACAGCTCCATCTTTGCCTATCGGTGACTTTTATGGATGGTACCAGCATTGCACTAGACATTTTGTTTAAAAAAAACAAAACACATGCCTGAAACGTTTATATATAAATCTAGAAACACATTTCTACCTTTCTTCTTTAGCAAAACTCTATCAGCACGGAAATGTGTATGGAACGTGAGTGACTCCAGATCCTAGTAGAACCATGCCATATTTTGCAGGCGACTGCAACTGCTTCTCTCTACCGTACCTCCTTGCTTGATGCCTATTGCACTGTACTATTTGTGGCCAGCATGGGTGGAAGAACACAGTGAGGTGCACGTCCTCCTCCCTTTCCAACCTCACCAAACCAAATCCAGGACGGCGCAGGGATCTCTGTTGTGTGTGTGTGCTGAGGCTAGGACTGTCACTCATTCTCTGATCAGCTTCTGAAAGCAGCTAGAGAGCAGCTGGCAAAAAACAATTCTGAAAAAAAAAATTACATTGCATCTAAATCTCTATCTAATCCACCCAAGCTCCTATTGAAGGAAAAATATATTTGCAAGAAACTTCCACCCCAACAGCAGATTACAATGCTGCATACTAAGGATCTCATCTGGACTCTGTTTTTCCTTGGAGCTGCAGGTACATGAATATATATAATTTTTTTTTTTTGGAGGTTGGGAACAAATTTGATTTCTGACCACTTCTGAATACTGTGCTGTGATGCAATTTTAGACTCATCTGGAGGAACAGGGGAATAGTGTTTTTGTTTCCTATTGCAATGTTTTTACACTGATGATTTGTTTCTCCCAAATATTGAATGTTGTGCTTTCCCCATCCCACTTGGTTTCCGAACTGGGGGGATAGCCGTAGAGGCTGGAAGCATTGCACTTTTGCGATTTCCCCCCTTCTCTGCATTTCAAAGGCAGCATTTTGGTGGAGGAGCTGGGAGATGAGCGAGAGGCAGAGAGACTGCTGGGGAGGAGGATTGGGAGGTGCTGGCTGAGCAAACATTGAGGAGAAAAGAATAAACCCCAGATCCTCAAGCTGAACCAAATCAGCATCGTTCAGAGTAAACACTGAAGCTAGGAAACCTCTTTTTGTTGCTGAGTGGACAAGTCCCTTTTGGTATTTTCGCCGCCTTGGCTCCCCCAGGGATGGTCAGTCAGTCTTAACGGTTTGCAATAGAGGGGGAAATTAGAAGAAAAGGAAAACGTGGGTGTTTTTGCCCCCTCCTCCTGTGCATGGTGCTACTGTGCTTTACTAGACGTCCAGTTAGTTGGAAACATTGTTCACAATTGAGGAATCTGAATGGGAAAGATGGCTCAGTCTGCAATTTGACAGGAGAAAGTGAAAGGGGTGGGGGGGGGGGGGGAGGTGAGGAGGGCGTGATCCAGGGGCTGGTTTTATACGTTGATACCTATATGTCTGAGTGCAAGGGGAGGAATTGCCCCTCTTTCTTGAACCCACCCCTCTTGGCGTGAAGGTTGTGTGTGTTGCAAATTGCAGACAATGGAGAGGGGGAAGGAGAATGAAATGATGAGGGCACTACGTGCGATGTGTTAATGGTGTCGCCATATGAGGAGCCAGGAGGGGGCTTTGTTTTAAAAATTTCTACCCGAATAGCTGAAGGATGGTGCTGGTTTTTGCAGGGTGCCCCCCCCCCCCCCCCCCCCCAAACCGTGCAAGGGGAAAGGGGGGGGGGGGGGGGGGGGGGAATGAAACGAAGCAACGGCGAGGAGCGATGCAATTGCAAATAAAGGCGAGGGTGAAAGAGGCTGCAGAAAGAGGGACGGTTTGAATGCAGCTGCAAAGGGTGGGGTGGCTAAGAACTGAGGGGGGGTCAGAGCTGCTGGGGGTGCAGTAAGTTCGGAAAGGGGAGGAATCTGGTGCAGAAAAAATCGGTGCGATTGTGTGTGTGTGTGTGTGTGAGAGCGAGAGTGAGCGCGCGCTGGGGAGGGGACGGTGGACGGGCGCGAGCCCCTGAGCTGCGGCGGGGAGGGGGGAGTAGGTGGGGGGGGGCTCGCTTGCATCCGCCGCCAATCAGGAGCCGGCGGCCCCGAGCGGGAAACGCCGTTAGGGGCTTTGCTCCCCAACGTTCGTAACGGTCCCGCCCCTCAGCCTTTCATCTCAGACCTGCCCCCGCCCCTACAGCACCCCCCCACCCCGCTGCTGGGAGTCCGTCCCCCCCCCGCCGCCAGCGCCCCCCAATCCAAGCCCTGACGCTGCCACCCAGGTGTGGTGCACCCCCCAGCATCACCCCTGCTGGGACCCCGCCTGTCAGCACCCCCTTTGCCCTGGGACGACGCCCACGCCAGCGGTGCCCCAAAGCTTGCCATGCACTTGCTGCGTGGCCGCTGTCGCCCCACCTCCAGCTGCGGGTGCCAGTGGTGCACCCACAGCTGCTTGCTCTTGTCACCCCCGTTCCGCCTTCCACAGCCCCACCCAACCCACCGTGTCATAGCAGCTTTGCACACTGCTGCCAGCACCCCGTTCCCAACTGCCGTCACCACCCCGACGCCCATGGCACGCTGACTCTCAAGCCATGGTCCTTCCATCATACCCCAACTCCCCAGTCCCTGCCATGGCACGCCTCAACCTACAATTGCCACACCCCACATACTGTCCCAGTCCCCACCGCCCCCAGGTACCATCACTCTCCACCACATCACCCCACACTGATAACCCTCACCTACCCAACAGCCACTACTACTGCCACTGCTCCACCCATCAACACACACCTTCCCAACTATCACCACCATGCCAACCCACTGCCATCAACCCGCACCTACCCCTCAACAAACCCTGCCATTGCCCTCCAACCCACTGTCAGATACACCCCCAAGCTCAAAGCTGCCTAGTGAGCATCAGCAGCACTCCATCCTGTTACACAGCTTCCCCATACCAAAAGAACCATCCCACAACTGCTCTTTAATTTCGAATTTTTAACATTTGTATTACTTCTTATTGGCATAGAACCCATATATGAACAAATAAGGAGGTTGTCAAATCCCTGCCACAACCCTTCTCTATTCCAGCCACACCCTTCAATCACAATCACCACACACCTACCTTCTCTTCTGCAAAGCACCACTAGATACTTGCCTTTCCCCCCAACAATCACCCCAGTTACACATTCACACAAAGCATTCTCAGTTGTGGGAGGGGGAAAGAAAGTGGGTTTTTCCAGGGAACAGACCAATTGGGGTAATTAAAGCTTCACTAAAGGAAAAAAAATTATACACATACATATCTCTCCCTGCCCCCTTCAAAATGTTTATTTGTTGTTAATAATGAGCGTCAAGGTGCTTGGGGAGCTGCACAGCTCAGAACTGACAACTGTTAAACCAGTATAAAATGGAGAATGTAAAAGCCAAATAAAATATTAAAAAGTCAAAACAAAGCAGCAACACATCATACAATAAAAGCAATACCCAGCACATCTGTAGCACCTTCCATGCTAAAGGATCCTGCTTTAATTTGCTAAGCCTTACCACCTCCTTTTCCTGCCCCCCTTCCCTCCCCCAAGAGAAAAAGAGAGAGAGACAGAGACAGAGAAGAAGCTTGCAGGGTGAAGAATCCAGTCTGATGAAGGAAAAGTCAAGGCAGAGAAAGAGCTACGCCGGCCATGACAATGCCAATAAAAAGCCCTTCTCCTTTTACAGTAACTTAAATGTGGGAAAAAGCAGGGAATAGATGTGTACTAGTGAGGAAACCCTGAATAGAGGATTGTCTGAGGAGTGGTCACCCAGTGGGGTGGGAACAAAAGCATTCCTCCTGCATCTTTTAAAATAGCTTCTTTTGTATATATTTCTATGTCCTGGGATAGTAACGCCTTAACTTACTCTTAAATTAAAACAACATTCTTTTATAACTCAGAGGCTGATTTATAGACACAACAGATGGCTCATCTCCTTTCATTTACATCCCGAGAACTATGGTTTCTTAAATAATAGAGAACATTTTGTATAAACTTTACAGTGTTGACATATGGCCTGGAAGATTCCTGACGTGACCAGTTGATTTTTCTTAAGAACATTTAATTTAATATTAATGTAATGAATTTCCAGTGTTTGTCTTCAGGAGTGTAAAAGGACTGTGGCTGCTCTCCAGACTGAAAGTGCCTTCATGTTTTCTTGGCTGGCCTCCAGAAATATATTTTACAGATAGACTTTCCTGCCTTAGGGTATAAGAAAAGATTGGTTTCTTGTTTTAAAAGAAGGCATGAACTTTTTTTTTTTTTTTTAATGCCATGGATTTGTGTTGGCTGAGAGGTAGGAAAGCAGAACCAATTGATGGGGGAGGAGATAGGAGAGGAGAATACTGCACCTGCTGCCATCAGTCTGCAGGGAACAGCAAGAAGCGCTAACGAGACAAAAAAGCACATTTTATTTTCTTGTTAAAAAAGGCCATCCTGCATTTTATTGATCATTTTCACCTCTGGGTGTTTATGGAGTGTATGCAGTTTTTTTGTTTTTGTTTTTCTTTTGATGTGGCTTTTGACATACTGTTTTTGAAGGACATGCTTTAGTATGAATTTCATCCATCAGCAGCAGAACGCTGTTCTGTTCTATCACAGACAGGAAGGCAGATGTTATGGATTTTTAATGAACTTGTACACAACCAGTTTGGGAAGAAGCTGTCTTTCAGGGGCATATGCAGTAGCTAATATGAAGGAAACTGCCTGAAGAATTTAATTAGATCCATTATAAAGGCTTTTTCAACTAAAGCAAAATGACATTTTTGTTAATATTACAATGAGGATGTAAAACTTGAGAAAGTAAACATATTCTACTGTGATAATGGAAATTTTTAAAACAGCACACGAAACAGTTTGCTGGTCCTTCTGTAATACAGAGCAAGTCTGAAAGTAGCCTGGCCAAGGGTGCGGCTGTGAAGGGAACTACAGCTCCCAGGCATCTCTCTGCTTCAGAATGAGATTCTTTGCGTATGTCTGCAATGGACTTGAGAAGGGGGGCGGGGGGAAGAGGGGGAAGGAGTGATGAATCCATCAAATCTGGGAGAGGGGGGGAAATTAGCCACATAGACTTCTGTTAGACATCAAAACTACCACAGAAGCGAATTTGAAGGTCAGATTTGTGCTGGCCGTGGCCTCTTTTGTTTGGGAAAAGCACATTGCCAAATCTTAAAGCTGTTGCTGATGCAAAGGGATGTAAATTAGTTGGGTTTGGCGGTGGTGCCATTATCCTCTTTCAGTTCATGGTGTTGAAATGCTGCCTCTCTGCTGCAGCTGCTCATTAGTAGCATTGCCTTTTGATGTTGCCCTGAGAGCCAAATGGTGGGCTTTCAGGCACTTTTAATGCATTGCATTTATAACTGTCTGAGGGAATCACTACTAACTGCTGGAATGAGATTTTTACATGTAATTCTTAGTTTACAATAGAGAAGGTGGGATGTGTTCCTAAAGGAAGAGGAATAGATAAGGGATCAAGGGAAAAAAACTGCAAATGGAAATAATCATTTTACTTACAGTTCAGATTTAGTCCTTTATACTGGCTCTCAAATCCAAGGATGGGAATACAGATATTTACTCTGTTGGATGAGTTATACCTGAAACTACCAGGTATACAGAAGCAGTCAAAAGTTGTGCCAAAAACACATGGTGACATTTGATGAAGTTA